ATCCCATTTCATGTCCCATGTTATACCCCAGTATAGTCCCATGATGATAAATCAATGATATAGCATGATTCTGGTTGGTTGAGAACGGGTTCCCCTCATGGATTGCGATTATTCCCTTTATATTGGTTAGTAACATTCCCAAATTCATCATGATCCAAAGAGGGTTTTGAAGCTGCTCAAATGAAAACTCCTTTGTAATCACATTTTTTAATCCGATTAAAATACCGTGATGCATCCCATTTTCATCAGTTATATCCATTTATAGCCCGTACACTTTTTTCAAGCCATCATACTCCCATAAGATATCTCATTTGAAATCCCATTAGATCATCCCATGATATATGCCATGATCATCACTTATATCAATGTCAATATGTAGATTATAATTCCATGATTTCTCCATCTTTAGCATCTCTTCCATCCCATTAGATATACTGTGGGTACAACAACAATAAACCATCCTTCAAATCACCATAAATAGGTGATATGGTTTCCATTCCAAGTCATGGGTGGTAAACATGGCATTGTTTTACCCACATTAATCCTATAATGCCATTACCCCATTAGATATACCATGGTGAAGTGGTCCGAAACTGGATTATGATATATCCCATTAGACTATGATATATCCCATTAGATTATGATATATCCTATTAGATTATGATATATCCTATTACAGTAGATTATCCATTAGATATATAGATTATCCATTGGATATGCCATGGTTAGATATACCCTCTGGTTATTTAACATAGCCATGGAAAATGGTCCATTTATATATGATTTTCCCAGCTACAAACCTCAATTTATGAGGGATTTTCCATGGCTATACTTAGGATTTATAGATGATTTTCCAGGATTTATAGATGATTTAGTTGTGAAATCACACGAATCCTAAGGGTGTTATACAGTTTACGACCATACATTCCTTGACTTGCCAGTTTGTGCAAACCATTTTGGTTGTTACCGACTTATTTTGGCTCAAGCACTGTTAAAAGGGCGCTGCCTTGTGCTTGGGTGCATCTTGACTAGTTCCCACGTAAGGCTGTATCGTGGTTGAACTAACTGGTTAACAGCCTCAGCTTCACATAAGCTAATTCCATAAACTTGTGGTTCCCAAAGCTTGAGCCCCTTTGGTTGCCACACCCCCGCCGCCTGTGGCACTAACTTTTCTAATAGACCCACGATCGAGTTGCAAAGGGTCTAGGATTGTTCGTCCCACAGACGTGTTAATCAGACCGGTCCAGGTCTCGCCAAGTGAAGAAAAGCCTAAGCTTCTCTGCGAAGGATTGCTTGGTGCTGGGCAGGGAGTTGCGATCCAGTGCAACACTGCCATTGGATAGGATCCGAATTCCATAACCCTAACTTCAATAGTGGTAGCTCCTTGTAATTGTGTGTTCGCACGTTCAAGTGAGTGATATATTCCGGGGTGTTTGCGATCCACTGCAACACCGGACCAAATTAGACCAATCCCATACTAGTTTGCTTGGTAGGTTAGACAACCAGTGCTCCTCGGACTTTCCTTAGGAATCTTTGAGTGTAGTCCCAAGCATAAAGAGGAGAAAATCTATAACGTCCAAGAAAGGTGGAACAAGTGCTTCATTTGTGCATATCAGGCTCAAAGAGTTCAACTCATTTGACCGCACCTGTTCCATATCGCCATAGACTAGTGCTCGGCGCCCGTTGATGCAAAGGGATCGCACTCCTAGAACGGGTGCGCAACTTGTCAGCCGTCTCGAGAAAGTTCGCAGAGAAAAGAGAGGCGGGAGAGTGTTCAAGCGCAGGTACAAGAGTATTTGTCTGCAGGTGCTTGAGTACTTCATTGGCCTTCTCGAGTTCGTGGTGTACCACGACCAGTTTGATGCTCGTGACAGGAGGAATCAGATTGTTCTCAGGCGCCTTCGACAGGCTGAGGAGCAGCATCAACGGTGCAAGCGTGATATCCTGCCATTGAGGGATAGGCCTTTGCTGCCCAGACTGCCTCGACATCCATATCAGCCGTTTTTTGAAGAGGTTCAGACCGATTCAGAATTTGCAGAGACTGTTTGGATTTCGTCCGAATCGGAAGAGGAAGACGTTCCATCGGGTATTTGGGCAGACCCAGCTTCGACTGCTCGTTCGTCGTCGGCTAGTCTTGGAGCTGTATCAAAGGCCAGACCTGCCATTAGACCAGCTGTGCCCAAGGCCAATCCTGTGGTACTTAGACCAGCTGTGCCTAAAGCCAACCCTGTGGCACATCAACCAGTTGTGCCTAAAACCAATCCTGTGGTACATCGACCAGTTGTGCCTAAAGCCAATCCTGTGGTACTTCGACCGTCAACAGCAGCGGCATCAGGGTCATCGGCATCATCAGGGTCAACAGGCCGTGGAAGAACCACTCCACGACCAGTGTGGGAGGCTTGGGATCAGGCTTTTGCTGGAACTGTGATCACACCATCGGAGCCAAGAGTGAAGTTCAGTGGACAGCGAGTTTGGACTGGCATCAAGTTTTGGACATCAAGCGTCATTCTCGAGGAACTGACCGTCCATCGCCTCCATACACATTGTTACCTGAGTACGAGCAGCTCATTCGAGGTTTGAAAGATCGTGGTGTGGCAGTTCTGGTTTGCTCTTACAACTGTAGTCCTAGTGTACCGAGATCAAGTCCAGAGCCTGTCGTGGAAGTATCCAGATTTGTTTAACCACATCATTACCATTCATTACCACCGAGAATCGTGGTCGTGAAGGTGGGAAACTGTCAGCACTTCAGACAATCACGCATTTCGGCTCTTGCCACTTGGTGCATTTCGACGATTCAGACGAGGTGTTAGACGAGCTGGAACGGTATCGGGAGTATCGTGGCTGGCCGGTTGGAAATCCGGTTGGAATCACTGCTGTAGGGATCAAGGTGCCTCGCAAACCACAGTGCCAAGGACCTCGATATTTCAAGAATCTTGGTGACGCACTGGCTCAGTTGGACACGGATCACCTCAGTAGACGACTGGCAGAGTTCATCCTTACCCGACGCACAGTCTGATCTCGTGGAGAGTTGCGATCCAGTGCAACGCCGCGTTGAGGGGTGAGTTTCTTGGACCTTCCGCCGAAGGTGAAAAAGAAAGGCCAGGGATTTACCTCGAACCAAAAAAAAACCTAAACCATAGCGGTCCCAAAACGGAGCCCCAAAAACTCTAAAGTGTTTGTCATTTTGGTGAACCCCAAGTTATTTGGAGTGCAATTTTTGCCAGCGTTCTCATTTGACAATGCCGCCAGTATCATCAGTATTGGGTTCAATGGAGCCTTCAGCCAATGACTCAACGTAATCATCTCTTCAAATATCTAGCAGTTCGCCGGATGGAATTCCATCTAGGGCATTGCAGGTACAAGTAGCATCAGCAATTCAATCGGAATCCAGTGCTAGTTCACAAACTCCGAGTCATGCTGAGCCACTTAGAAGGAACCGTTCCAGGACAAGGGATAGTCCGTATGAAGGGGGTTCCCAGCAGCTTGTCTCGTCCAGGAGTCAAAGTGGAAGCCGTGCAGAATCGCCATTGTCCAGTCATCGAGGCCCAGGTTCATTGATAGCCTTGGAAGATAGACAGGGTAGTGGGGGAGGATTGCCACCAACTGGTCAACCCGTAACACTTGTAAGACAACATGATCAAAGATCGGTTGTTCGTAACAGGCATCAGCATGTGCAGGCACAGGACCAAAGGTCAGTTCATCAACATGTGCACCAACATGCTTATGATCAAAGATCGATGCAAGTTCAAGTAGGGATGGATCCGGTAGCAGTTATCCAACATGTCCAGGGAGTTGAAAGACATGCTCATGCGGCCATCCATGAAGCTCGCTCGGAAGTGACTAGTACCCAAAGGTTGGCTGATCAGGCTGTTCAGAACATTGTCCAAGAGGCAAGAACCCACGTTTCTGAAGTCCAAGCTCAGGCACAGGTTCAGGTTCAGTCAGTTGAGACCAGAGCCCAAGCCATTGTGAGTGATATGGAAACAAATTATCAAAGGGAAATTGCTCAAATTCAAGACATTGCTCAAAGAGCATATGAGGATTCGCAACATCGATTGTCGCAAATGGAGGATCGCAATCGTGAACTTCTTGCAATCATTGAATCACAATCCCAAGTGCTGGAGTCGCAAAGGGACGAACAGCGAAATCTCATGAACCAAGTGGGATCCCTTCAGAGTGAAATCACAATGCTTAGGCATTCGTCGGCCCAGTATGATGTACCGATTCAAGACCAAAATGGCACGGTTGATGTTTCAGGGTTGATGCAAATGATGAATTCACTCAAGGATGAAATCAAAGTATTGAGGGGTAAACATCCAAGTAAGAAGAAACATGAGAGCCATGTTGATAGCAGGGTTGCAGTGCCACCAGAGCCGGCTCAATCGGCTTGTGCAGGATATCCGCCATCTCACGAACCTAGTCCAGCACATTCGATGCATTCGCGTCATTCGAAAGAGCCCCAAAAGCCAAATGCTGCACCACAGATGTTTTCGCTTTCAGCATATAGTTACTTGGGGAATGCTTCAACAATTGAATTGCCAGGAAGTTCAACCCAAAAGGGACTCGATCCGCCACCTGATGACTCATCCTCGTCATCTTCATCGACCAGTGATCGGCATGGAGGTGGAGGGGGATCACCTGATCGTGGAAGGGGATCACCTCCGAATGACAGTCCAGCATCGTCCGGACTTGGGAGAGTGAGAGGAGATCGAATCAATCCTTCAATTGGTGTAGGGTCAGCGGTAATCTTTGATGAGTCAGTGATTTATAAAGCAAAGGATTTGAGTTTGATCAAAATAGAAACCATTCCAGTTGATGCAGCTCAATATCGTGGATGGAAGAACGCTTTCCTGACAAAGGCATCATCCATTGACAAAACAGGACAGAGCCAGATCCTTCAGTGGTTGCTGCAGGCGTTTTCTCCAGACGTAACGAGAGAAATGTTGATTCTGACGTCAGCTGAAATGCCAAGATTGGATGCTCATCTTGCAAGTGTTTTGATGGAGGCCAAACACCTCAAAGGGGAGTTGGGCTTACAATTTCAAGCTTACACAGAATCTGAGCAGATGAGAGGGAGGGCTCCTTTGGGAAGAGTGTTGTTGAACATGATTGCAAGACGCTTTTTCCTTGATCAAAGTCGTGGTGCCAATCTCACTCAGCAAAGTTTGCTTGAACTTGAAGTCACTCAATATACACCTGAAGGACTGAGTAGCTTTGTTGATCGGGTAGAGTATGTGCTGAATTCGATTCCACCGGAGTTGCAGCCATCAGAAATGACTCGTTACACTTGGCTATACTCACGTATGCGTAAGGTAAGAGTGATGCAAAGACACATTGACAAGATCCGTGATTCCAGAGTCGGTTCTCACTGTCGTACCTATGACTGGCTTTTCGGAAAGCTCAAGACGTGCATCAATGAGATGAAGGAAGACCAGAACGAAGAGGCAGTGCGCAGTTCGCTTCAGAAACGACTCAAAGACAAGGACAAGGACAACAAGCCAAAGCCAAAGGCCGCGGCTGCAACGACAAAGTCGGAAGGTACACAAGAGGAGTCCAAAGGACTTCCAAACCCGAAGGCCAAGGCAAAGCCAAAAGCCACTCAGCCTAATCCAAAGGAGAAAGGTTCTGGGGAAAAGGGTAAGGGTAAGAAGGAAAATAAAGGCAAAGGTCCGGGTCAAGGAGAGGAGACAAAGTCAAATCCCAAGCCAAAGGCTGATCCGAAGCCAGACAAAGCACGTGTAGATTGTCTGTTCTGGGGAAAGGGTTCATGCAACCGTGGTGATGCATGTCCGTTTTACCATGACCCAGCCAAGAAGGCAGCGGCAAAGCCAAAACCTTCGCCTTCGCAGCCCTCTGCATCAACCGCCAAAGCTGCAGTCGCGACCATAGCTTCGGTTGGAAATCTTGCATCATCGAGTGCGTGTTCCGTTGCATCCAAAGGGTCAACATCTTCCATGGGAAAATCCTTGATTGGAAGGTTCATGCAGTTCGTTGCCACTTGTGTATCAATGCTCACTGGTGCCCATACGCCGCAGGGGTTTGCCTCCGTGGCAACACTGTCGGCAGCACCAGCCGTTGTCCATCACCATAATCATGGAATTGCAATGAGTGCCAAAGCAGCTGATCAGTACTCGTTTGAATGGATTGCAGACTCTGGGGCAGGCCGTGACCTCACATCGCATCGTGCTTTGATTGAGCAGGGTGTTCCAAATGCTGTGATTCAGAAACAAACTCAATCCGTAAATCCAATCAAATTTGAAACCGGAAATGGCACAGTAGTGAGTGATTCTTGCATTGAAATTCCTGGAGATGTTTTTGGAGAAGCTCGTTTTCAGGTCATGGACGATTGCCCCATGGTTCGATCACTTGGTAAACTTGTGGAGCAGGGTCATCCCTTCATTTGGTGCCCAGGTGAGTTGCCGTTCTTTGCAAAAAGCGTAGACTCCATTCAATTGACACACAACTCAGATATCATTCGTGCTCAACGAGTAGAGGATAGTGTTCCCATCTTCACTGAAACATTTAACATGTCATCAGCATATGCATTGCCAGGTGCTGCAGGCGGAGATGTTGCACACCCAGCTTCAGCTGTGGTTCCAGAAGCTCGAGCCGAACGTGTCAGGGAAGAGGGGGGTTCATCCGATGCAGACTCTGAAAGGGAAATGCCAGTAGATCGGTTGAGACGCCTCGTAGCTGAAGCTAATTCCTTAGAGCATAAGTTGTGTCACTACCCTAAGAATCCTCATTGCCCAGTGTGCCAAAGATCGAGAATGTACAGAAAGAAAGTTCGCAGGTTCAGACATGATGCACTCACAGATCGTGGCATGTTACCCGCGGTAGCCCAATTTGGAGAAAGGATCGCAACAGACTTCGTGATCGTTCAGAAGTTGAGTTCAGGTAAAGAACATGTGGTTCAGGTCGTACGTGATGAGTTTTCGGGATGGATAAGGGCATATCCTTTAAACAAGCGAGACACCTCATCCGTGGTAGGCAACATACTGTCGTTTCTCGGGCCATCCTACGACCAACCCTCCATAATGGTAAAATCCGATCAAGCCGTTGAAGTTAGAGCAGCGTGCAAGCAACTTGGATGCCATTTTGAAGGCACCCTTGAGAATAGGTTTCCACACAATAGTGTCCTTGAACGGGACATCAGAACCGTGCAAGAAATTGCCAGGGCTTGTCATTTGCAAGCTGGATTCGATCTTGTAGGCGGTTTGTGGATCCATTCAGTTGACTATGCAGCCACCATGCTCACAGCATTTCGATGTGCGTCCGGAAAAGACCAAACAAGACATCAGCTTGCTACAGGTAAAGAGTTTTCTGGTAGAAAGTTGCTTCTAGGACAGCTTGTGCACTACCACGTGCCGGCAGCTCAGAGAGGCAAATTTGATCCATCCTCGAAGCCTGGTTTGTTTGCTGGTTGGCGATATGACGCAGGTCCGTTGTCACACAAAGATGTGTACTATGTCCTGGATTATGGTAAGTTGAAAACAAGAGAGGCAGGTATGCTAATGCAATCTCGGTGCCTGCTGAGGAACTCTATGTTGAGGAGAAAGAGCCTTTGCTTCCTTTGAAGCGTGCAGCGGATCTGGCATTGGCCAACTTCAGTGAAGCAACATTGGATGACATTCCGCCTCTTGACATACCTTTTTCAGACGTAGCCATCGAAGGAAAAGTAAAGAGAAGTGAGTACATCACCCTTGATCGCATCATGCGCTTCGGAGCAACAGAGGGTTGTCGTGCGTGTAGGTTTGAATCAACTTATAGTAAGCACACTCCCATTTGCCGTGCGCGATTCAATGGACTAATCAGGGCAGATCGCATTGCATCATCGAGAGCAGATGGGTCAAACACTCCAGTTCCAGTGACGCCAGCACCCGAAACACCAGCCCCAGAGATTGTTGAAGAATTTGCAGGTGTTCCAGAAGAGGAGCTTCCGTTCAGTGCTGGAATTGCCCCGGATCGTGCGGCCATTGTGAAAGTCCTTGAAATAGATGATGTGTTTGTTGAAACTTGTAGGATGAGAAATCGATTCCGAAGGTTACACCATCAAAAAGGGGAAAATGTGTTGTTTGAATTTGCATGTTCAAATGACTCCGTGTTGGGTAAAGTTGCAGAATCAATCAATGTAGATTGTATCCGTTTGAGTAGGGATGTGCTGGATCTGACTGACCCAGAGCACCTTTCCCAAGCGTTGGGACAAGTCGACGCACTGCCAGGTTCAGATACTTGGGTGTCCATTGTGTGTACGTACCATAGCGCACTGCAACATCTCAATGAGTACCTTCATGGGGAAAAATACAAACGAAAGTTGAAACAAAATCGAAAACAATCCATCAAGCTGTTGCGTAGTGCGCAAAAGTTCATTGCCAAGGTTTTGAGTCACGGTGGTCGTGCAGCCTTTGAATTGCCAGCAGAGAATGAACTGTGGAAAGACCCAGAATGGATGAAGTTTGAAGCAGATCATTCAATGAAACGTGTGTTCTTTAACGGTTGTTCTTTTAACCTTCGTGGAAAGGGGGGTGAATTGATAAAGAAGCCGTGGGCTGTCAGCACTTCTGACATGCGACTCATACAAATCCTTGACCAGCATAAGTGTTCAGGCGACCACCAGCATGAACCAGCAATGGGAGGCAATGCAGCACACACAGCATACTACACACCAGAAATGGCGTCAAAGATTCTCGAGGCCCTTTATCCGAATAAGTTTTACAGTTCCGTTCCATCAGTTCAGCATGGTTCAGCCTTTGTCACTTTGAACCTCAGCCGATGCCAGTGGTTGAATGATGAGAGAGGAGTCCAAGCTGTACAGAAAGAAGCAGATGGCCTCAGAGCCAACGAAACTTGGAACGACGAAACGGTCGATACCCTTCAGAACTGGAAGACTTGGGCCCGGAATTCCAACATCAAGATTCATGTCGCGGACCTTTTAACCCTTTGCGGAATAAAGCACTTCGAGTTGGGACCCTCGCAATGGAAATATAAGGGCCGTGTCGTTTATAGAGGCGACAGAATCAGAGACACAGATGGAAATGTAATTCTGTTCCAAGAAACAGCAACAAGTCCCACAGCGATAATCGCACTACAAATAGCCCTTTGGTACGGCTTGCTAGCCGATCACATTGTGACATATAGTGACGCAGTTCAGGCATTTCTTCAGACATGGTTGGACAAGAACGATTGGACGCTTGTCATCCTGCCAGTTGAACTTTGGAAACCTGAATGGAAAGCTCGCTTTGGTGAATCCGCAAAGTTGGCAGTTCGGTTGCAGAAAAGCCTGTACGGCCACCCTATGGCCGGAAAGTGGTGGCAGCAGTTCCTCAACTCTTGCATTGTTTCTATAGGTGGGATAGAACTCCAAGAACATCCAAGTAATTTTGTGTTTCGTTGGAATCCTAGTAAACATGGCGGAGATGTAGATCATGAATATGTGTTGCTTCTCAATGTTTACGTGGATGATTTAACACTAAGTGGACATCGATGTTGCCATGAGTCATTTTGGAGAACCTTGTCTTCAAAGGTGAAACTGGATCCATTTCAAGAGATCAACACAGAAGGACTCTTGATCTTGGGACGCAGACACTTCATTGAGAGAAGTCCATCTACCTCAAAGATCACATTCGACATGCGTACTTATGTTGATCAGGTTGTGAAGACGTACTGTGAGCTTACTGGAACAGAAGTCGCAGCTTTGAAGAAGGTCAGCACTCCAAGTTATCCAGAGAACTCCATGACAGATGAAGAGTTGAACCAACAAGGACAACTCAGCGGTTCAGCAGCCAGAGTTCTGATGAGAATCCTTTGGCTCTCCAGACTCGCTCGCCCAGATGTGAGTTTCATTGTGGGTCGTTTGGCAACACGCGTCACACAGTGGTCGAAATTCGAAGACAGACAACTGTACAGATGCATTTGTTATCTTCACCACAGTCGAGACAAAGTTTTGGTAGGACAAATCGACCATGCACACGAACAAGAAGCATCAATCGAGGTGTTTACAGACAGTGACTTTGCCAGCTGTCCATTCAGTGCTAAAAGCACGTCCGGAATCATGATAGTGATCAAGACAGGTCAGTTGTCGCTTCCGATTTACTGGAGCAGTCGAAAACAGACAAGTGTAGCTCGTAGCACGCCGGAGGCCGAGCTGATCGCTATGTCGTCTGCCATGTTCACGGAAGTCATCAACGTACAAACCATGCTGCAACAGCTATTGGAACGACCTATCCAAGTTAACTATCGTCAAGACAACCAAGCAGTAGTTGACATCGTCACTTCTGGTTACTCGGCCAAACTTCGCCATGCACCCAGAGTTCACCGTGTGAACGTAAGTTCAGTAAATGAGGTGCTTTCAGAAGGGTTTCTGCATTCAATTTGGTATACCCATACTGCAGAGCAGATTGCAAATGGCTTGACCAAAGTCATTTCTCCAGCCGAGTGGCCTTCAATGCTTCATCAATTGTGCATCCAAGACTTTGACGTAGATACAGAATCGTAGTTTCATTTGTTGTATAGCAACTTGCTTACAACTTGGAATTGCATCCAGGTCAGGAATGTTGCCCGAGGGGGGAGTTGTGAAATCACACGAATCCTAAGGGTGTTATACAGTTTACGACCATACATTCCTTGACTTGCCAGTTTGTACAAACCATTTTGGTTGTTACCGACTTATTTTGGCTCAAGCACTGTTAAAAGGGCGCTGCCTTGTGCTTGGGTGCATCTTGACTAGTTCCCACGTAAGGCTGTATCGTGGTTGAACTAACTGATTTTCCAGGATTTATAGATGATTTTCCACAGGATTTATAGATGATTTTCCCATTAAATAACCAGAGGGTACTTCGAATCTGCCAAGTTCGCCCAGGCGCCGTGGTGGCCTCCCGTCTCAGCGAGGACCGTGGCGCCTCGGTGCTGCTGCTGGAGGCGGGGCCGCGGCAGGAGGCGATGACCGCGGTGCCGGCGGCCTGTGGGGCGTGCCTTTTTTCCGAGATCGGTGGTGGATTTTTTTTTTTGGATGACGAGGACCGATGATTTGGATGATCTTTAGCCATGCAAAATCAATAGCCTCTGGTTATTTGACATAGCCATGGTATAGATGGCCCATAGAAATAGATGGTTTACCGAACTTAAAAATGGTGATTTTCCATGGCTATGTTAAATAACCAGAGGGTAATAGATTTTCTGGTTGATGGTTTGGAACATTTTTTTCCATAATTTTCCATATATTGGGAATGTCATCATCCCAAGTGACTAATATTTTTCAGAGGGGTTGAAACCACCAACCAGTTTTAATATTGTCTTTAATGGATTTTAAGATGGTTAACTTCCCATTTTTTCAAATGGAGTTAGAATGGATATCCTGGATAGCTATATATATATACATATACATAACGTATATAACGCATACTATGGATACAAAAGGTATACATATTATGGTTAACTTCCCATTGTGTTTTTTGATGGATTTTGAATGGATATGATGGATATAAGGTATTTTTTCTGTAGGATAACGGGTATATTGGGCTGAAATTCACATCTTTAATGGAATGTCGAACGGGAATATTTTTTGGCTGTTTTTAATAGGGAAATTATGGATTTAATGGATATGATTGATGATAATGGGATATGAAATTATTAAAACAGTGGGATTTTTTTTTTTGTATTGAATTTCAGATGGATATCTAATGTCACAAAAATGATAAAGGTATATATGCTCAAATTCTCATTTTGGTTGGTTTCCCTTTGGTAATTTGTTTTTGAATGGATTCAAAATGGATATATACGAACTCCCAAAAAGATGGAAACATAATTTAGCACTATCTTAATAGGATCTTATTTTTCTATGTGTTTGGGGGTTACTCTAAAATGGGAATATTGCAATAACATTTGAGAGCATTCCAAAAGATACGGGACATGTTATGGTATGATCAGGCCTTAATACAGGTTGTATCATCTAAGCATCTCCAGTCTCCAATAGCAATTGGACATATGACATACAGGTTTGCTGGGAATTGACAAATGTAGAATATACCGAATGAATGATTCTGATATTATGGGATTGTGAAAGTACATGTGTTTAGATACATGTATCTAACCTTTGGGCTACCCCATGGCTACAGATCCAAATGGTATGATTTTGGTTTCATGGGTCGGGTTTTTTAATGGGACGTGGGAGATTTACGTGGGAATATGGAAATGCTAGAATAATTGGGTCAATCTGATTTGGATAGTAACAGAGGTTGATTTACCAACATGTGCCTGAAAAATAGGACCTTTGAACTTTTTCTCATCCATCACCACCCACCGGGGGATCGGTATCAATGGGTGTAACATGGTTATCCTGTTATTACCCTCTGGTTGTGACTAACATAACCATGGTATAGATGGCCCATTTATAGATGGTTTACCGAACTAAAAAATGGTGGATGATCTTTAGCCATGCAAAACCAATACCCTCTGGTTATTTGACATAGCCATGGAAAATGGCCCATTTATAGATGGTTTACCGAACTAAAAAATGGTGATATTCCATGGCTATGTTAAATAACCAGATGGTAAACATGAATTCAAAACAGTGGCACTCAATTATCTCCAAACCATGTTTATGAAGAGATCGAAATCTAGGACTCAGGGGACTACAGATGCTGTAGGAAGAAAAAAACACCAGTTCTTGGGTACCTCTTTTTGACCATAGTCATATTTGAGTAATGGGATGATGGGAAGGGTAGTTTGATACCAGCTAATCTTTGTTCATTTTATTGGGATAGTTGGGATAGTACTTACTGAACATGGTATTTTGGCAGGGCATGTAGGGATTTGGATGAATTTAACCAATTCAAAAATGCGTGCGCCCTTGGTCGCACGTTTTGGACGTACCAAAAGTGGAATTTGACCATGAAGTCTGGTGGTACTTCCCCAAGAAGCCTTGGGATTTCAACACTTTGAGATTCCACCACCAATGAGGCTGGTGAGGGTGGGGGCAAACACCAAAATTTTTCAGAGATTTGAATGGGATAATCTTGAATGGTGTCCTTTGCCATGGATGACTAGAGGGTAACTTACCTGGTTGGTGATTTGGAACATGGCTTTTATTTTTCCATATATTGGGAATAGTAACCCCAACTGACATATTTATTTTTCAGAGGGGCAGGGATACCACCAACCAGTTTCTATTTGGGGAATGTACTTGAAGGTGCAGTTTTTCCAGCGGAGATCATGGTGCCAGGTTCGGGGGGCGAAAATCCAATGGTTACAATGCAAGTTGTTGGCTTCCAAACCCCATTAAATCATATTAAATCATAGATATACCAGGAACATTTATACACCATAGTTATATTAAGAGAGCAGGACACTCCCAGGGTGTCCCCTTCTGTATATTAATGCTTAAGCCTTGCTTATCCCCAAAGTGTATTGTTTTGAAACATTTTTTGAGGGGCAAAATCCAAGCACAAATCCTCCAAGGCTGCAGAAAACTCCCGTGGATTGGGCGAGGCGCAGTGCGGGCTACGGCATTGGGTGCCTCTGCTGATACGTCGGGTGGAAAACCCGGTCGGTGACAGCATTTTGTCGCGATTTTGTTGAAGTTCATCCCCCAAAAAAATGGTTGACCGGTTTTGATGTTTTGATTTATTTGTTGTATTTTGTTGTGGTGTTGACCAGTACTTTCTATCTTAGTGGCTTCTAATGTACCCTCTGGTTATTTAACATAGCTATAGAAAATCACAATTTTTAAGTTCAGGAACCATCTATAAATGGGCCATTTTCCATGGCTATGTTTTGATCCATTCCCATTTCAGTCATTTCATGACATCATAATTCTGCCCCGGGGATGCATATGAAGGTGGGTCGATTCTTTTCTTCGGTGGGATATACTGGCCAGCTTTATTTTCAACAACCATATGGAACACATGAGGATTTCCATAGTCATGGCGGTAGCTGGATGGTTTAGAATGGAAAATCCCATCAAAATGGATCAAAATGGATGATTCCATATCAAGTCTGTTTTTTTTTTGCAAGGTATTTGCGATTGGTCATGCTTTTTCTGGTTGGCTTTCCAGGGATCCAAAGATATCCAAAGCCACGGATCCGTCACTAACCAGAGACGCGAAGGGCAAGAACCACTCAACCTCGGTACAGGAGTAAATTGCGCGAAGATCCCCAGATACAGAATTGAAATGTTGATTGCGTCCAAAACAATCCGATCCCCGATCATCCACAAAAAACATCTTCGGACCTGGAAAATGAACAGCCTCTGCTCACTTGAACATGGGTTGCTTCTGTCAGTTTGCTCTCCACCCAACCATTTGAACATCCCTCGGCGAAATTTTCCAGCTGATTATAAACTATACGATACGTGTCATATCTGAGTCCATGTTTGCGAAGGATCTTGAACCTTTGTTGAGTAAGTAATTAAAATCAAGATGAAGAGCATCAGGAATCCCGCGTCGCTTTCTTCTCACATGGACCCAGAAGTTATATTCCCCGTATTCCCCTAAAAGAAGGTCAGCAAATTATGGGTTTGTCTGAAAATGCTGCACCCCAAAATCCCATGCTGGGCCAATGCTGGGTCACCATTGTCCCCTTGACACTCTCATATCGTCGCATATCCACTATTCATTGCTTAAAATCCATCAACTTGTCGGCAAAATCCCATCAAAATCCAAATTTTGACATTTTACCTCTTGTAACTAACCCTATGAGCACGTGTCAAAACTTACAACATCAACATCCACTTAAACCTTCCCATCTTTTGCCGTTCACCTCAAGGCACACAAAAAACCAACCAAGGCGCGGCCTGGAGGGTGGCCAGGTGAATCTACCCAGCGGCCGGGTCTTGGGTGGCTCCACCGCGATCAACTACATGGCCTACGTCCGTGGCAGCCCCAAGGACTACGACCTCTGGGCTACGTTGGGGGCCGATGGATGGAGTTGGAAGGAGGCGTTTTCGCGAAACGGTCGGATGGATTTTGAGGAGCCTTTTTGAGGGGTGCCACCATGGTGAAGTAACTGAAACGGAAAATCATGGAACATCGAAGATAGCTACAAAATCCCCTAATTCATCTTAAATGGTTGGTTGAATGGGAAAATCATCGAACCATTGCCGGTAAATTTCCAGCCAACCATGGTTGATTTTTGCCGAAATCGCACTGTCCCGCAAAATCGGCAATCAAGGCCCGCCAAATAGATAGACATGGGTATGGATCAATACCTATTAATACCATTTTTAGGGGGATGAACATCCATTTACCAGCTATTTTGATGTTCACCAGGGGTACAAGGTTTTGACACACTGCCACATAGGGAAAATGCATACAATAAGATTATGGTTCTGGTATGGTGGATCTGTTGGTCCATCCAATTGCAGAAACCTATTGGGAAAGATGATCTCATTCATTTTTTGAGTAGAACTACACTAGCCAAGGGACATCGGACATCGGGCAGGTGTTTGTTTTTCTTTGCACTTTCACCAAAAGTCCTGGAAAACATGTTATACGACCTGTCCCGGAATTGGCTTAAGGGACAATTTGCAGGAAACAACCTTACGTTCTCTTATATTTGATAGTAAAAAGCATGCAAGAACCATGGTTTCCTCTAGAATTTCCCAGCTAAACCCATCCGTCGAATCTGGTGATTGTCCTGGAAAGTAAGTCTGAAAGGCACCAAAATATGGTAGATGTTTCGGGCATTATCCAATGAGTGATGAATATAACCGAATATATATATATATATACATATATATATATATAATTATATATAAGTTCATTTCAATAGGGATACTGGGGCTTTATTAAAGGATCTAACTGACCAAATGGGAATTTGAGCAATGAATAGTGGATATGGGCGTGTCTGAAAACGGAGGTGTGCCAATGTATAGCCATCAGTTTATGGCCATTTGAAGAGTCAGGAACAACCGGAACAACTAAACGAAACCAGGGTTACTGATGGTTACTGTGGAGTGATTGTGGCAGGTGCTGCCATACTTCAAGAAGAGCCAAGGCGTCCGAACCGAGTCCGCCCTTGTGAAAATGGATATATCAACGTTAGGAGATCTCCGATTTTGAGAGTTCCGGGGGTTTCCACGTTTCGTTCGGAACACCGAGAGAAGTAGTTGTGTTTTTGGCACTCCGAATCCTCTCATCATTGTAAATCTTTCAATGTTTATTTGCGAACGCACATCCTGAATACAAACAAAAACGAATCTGAGATCAAACTTGATCCTGCTTTCATACCAGATCACACAATCAAACTTTGCACCCAGTCTAAGCAAAATCCAACAATTCAAGGCCTTAGTGCAGAGGGCGCTCCTGCGCAAGCCGTGCAAAGCGATGCACACGGTGCCAAGACGAGGAATGTGGGATGGAGAAAGCCTGGTTTGGAGAGGTGAAATCTGCTTGAGTTATTAGATTTGTGTATATATTCATGTATATTTATGATTATTTATGTATAGGGTATATATAGGCTATATAAAATCATCTCTGTATATATTTGTACATGTTATATTGCAATTAATATTACACACATGTATACATTACATATAATATATATATATAATTATATATATATATTGGGAATGTCATAATCCCAACTGACTTTCATATTTTTCAGAGGGGTGGGTCAACCACCCAGTACAGTTCTTTCGCTACAAATCGATGGAGTCGCCCAGGTCGTCAAGGCCCCTGGGGCGTCAGCTTCCGGTCGCCGCCGCTGCCGAGCGTCTCCAGCTTTGTGGCTGCGGCAACGGAACAAGGTGGACGTTGGGGGGGTTGAAGAGCTAATGGGATGATTGTAGGGGGAGCCACTTAGAAGATCTTGGAATCATTTCTGATCATCCCATCTTTTTGAGTGGTTAAATTAATCGTCGTAGTTATAAGTCCTATGAAGTCCTGATAGGCCTGGTAAGTGGTTTATAACCGTACTGTTACTTTTCCCCTTTCCTAGGATTACTTATTCATGGGATGAACTAATGGAAGCTATAGTAATAATTAGATGGGTCTATCTTGGAGGATCCTCCCATTTAGCAAGTGGGTAGTTTCTGGGCTTATAACTTCATGGCCCAGTTTAATCAATGGGATCATCGACTTGGGGGCAGACCAATTGTCACGATAAATGGGATAAACCACTTATAACCACTTCTGATCATCCCATGTATAAATGGTTAGTAAGATTTAATAACCAGATCCCATGTCAAAAGTCCTGAGATAGACCAGTTGTAGGTGGTTAATAACCATAGTTACCCATTTATGGATGGGAGAAGCCACTTAATAGGGGAACTTACTCGGAGCCTGAGGAAATGGCCGGCAGGATGATGATAATTCCTATCTGAGTTTCAATTCATTGGTGCTTTTTGATCATTTTTTTTAAAATATACATCAAACATTATACATCTATTGATTCAAGTTCAGTACACTATTTATACATATTTATACAATCATATATATATAATATACATGAATGTAAGCATATTTATACAATCATATATATATATAATATACATGAATGTAAGCATATTTATACAATCATATATATAATATACATGAATGTAATAAATATACACTATTTATTCAATAATATACAATAATGTTGAATTGATCTAATACATCTAAAGTCAGATTTTTTTTTAAGCGATGTTGCATCCCAGGATGCCTGGAGCTAGAAAAACCCACCATTTTGAACTGGGAAATCATATATATATATACATGTAAATAGTCAATAATAGTCATAGTTATGGTGATGATGGTGGCATTTTTCCATAACATAGTCGTAGTTGATAAATAGCCATCACTATGGTCATTTTCAATAGCTACTAGTGTTTTTTTGTTCCGACAAACCAACTTTTACGATGGTGAGTTGAGGAAAAAATCATCCCGAAATCTTCGTTTTTCAGGTTCGTGAAGTATGAAATAATGAGCCACTTATACTGCAACTGGATGTAATCATCTAGAGACTATGTCCCTATTAAAACCACTATATTTATAGGCTTTATAGGTGATTTCGGTGGGTCATACCTAGGCTACTCATCTTTGAATGGATAGATTCCACCTTGAATTTCACGAAAAAATCAGCCACGTTCCCAGAGGATCTTGTTGAACTTCCGCTGGTTTTGCCCCGAATCTTCCCGCCACATCGGTCCAGGTTACACCCTTGGGGACTACAACTCCACTGCGCGGTCCCAGACGAATGCTGCGGGGCGCGGAGTAGTAAGTCCGCATCAGTTCAGCATCAAGAGACTTGGCTGCAACGAGGTCGCTGATGAAGTGGACAGTCGGACACCCCCAACGTTGGAGGAAATATCTTGGATGAGGTGTGCCTCAAAAGGGCACGGGCACAGAACGTGGATGTATTTTTCATAGGTTCCTACCTCTTATCTGAATATAGCACCAGATGGATTTTTCACAACATATTCTTTCCACAAGTTCAGAAGTCCAGTCCAGATCCAGAAGAACAGGGTTTCCTCACGTATCAACATGGGATCCATGGGTAGAGCATGAATTTAAAAAGCCTCGGGATGCGCGGAGCTTTTCAAATGTGATGTACAAACACATATATTATGATATATTAAACATATATCATGATATATTATATATTGAAGTATGTTTCTTATGTTATGTATTATTCTGGTTGGTGGTTTCAAACATTTTTTCTTTTCCATAATATATGGGTTGTCATCCTTCCCATTGACTAATATTTTTCAAGATGGTTATTGCACCACCCACCAGAAAATATAGGGAATACACAATCAGTACTCATTTGGATCATTGAACCAAATCTGATCAGAATTTATGAAACACCCCCGATTCTATGGTCCCACATATGTGATGAAATCATCCCTACTTCCACCATGTTTCCTTGGTGTGTTTAATACACATGGGGGACGGGTTTATATATATACATATATATATATACGTATATATATATATACATAAAAAGCACTACAATCCAATTTATAATCAATAAAGGATTTATTACAAGATAACCCAGCATTTCTTGGTGATCAGCAAGCCTTTTTTTGGGCCTACGTTGGTTGAACTTCACGGGATGGCCAGCCAGCGCTGAGGAATGGCCAGCGCTCTTGCACCAGCACCTCGCACTGGGGGTGTGAGCCTGGGGAGGTTAGGATAAAAAGAACATAATTGCCAGTGCTTCAAGATGATTTATACATCTATAAATATAGAGAATTATACATAGAGGATTATATATATAGGATTATAGATATACATAATGACATATGTATATATAGAATTATATATATACAGGATTATAGATATACATAATGACATATATATATATATATAGAACTATGTATATATATAATTATATGTATATAGAATTATATAGATATACATAATGATATATACATATATATATATATATGTATATACATAGACTATCCAGCTAGAAACAAATCGCATGGGAGAAGGAGCCCAAGACGTTCGCCAAGAAGTTGTGACTGGTCAGTTGTGGATCAAAAGTTTTGCGAGGCATATTCTGTGCAGAAGAGAGGTAATGATCATCTGAAAAAAAGGCCAATCTGCGTTTTTCGATGGTTTTCTGGGGTGCAAAGTCTGTGTGTCCTGATTCTTCAGGGCTCATCAGGGTGAATGGCACTTTTCGGTGAGATGGAAACTTCGATAGTTCAAAACTCATAAAATGGAAATCAAACCATGCAATTCAATATCTCATGGTGGTACTATTAGTCTGTTTGCTTAGCATGAATGGGTGTTTTTTTTGTTTTGAGGAGGATTCGAGTCAATTACAACCCGGTCATTGATGGTGCTGGTATATGAGGTTACAGCCGCAGTTGAGTCCCAGCCAACCCGACGTCCTTCCGACAAGTCCTACCTACAGTAGAAGTTCATCCCATTTATACGTGGGGGTGCATCCCAGAAAACTGTAAGTGGGTGAGCAATATCAAATAACCCAATTAGATTAATGGCATATCCCCAGGAAGATTTCTGTTCCAAGTAGATATCTCGGCCCATGCGAGTCCCGTCGCCGTCTCAAGGCAAGGCGTTTCTCGAGCCGCACATGGACCATCGAAGAAGCCTCACTGTCTCGACCATGGCGCGTGCACGGCGTGTGCTTTTGGACGGCAAGCGAGCAGTTGGAGACTGGGCGATGGAACGTCCAGCTACGTCCTACCGGGTAGCTGGTAACGGAGTTGGAGTCAAATTTGTTGGGGGGTCATGATATGTTGTAGTGTTGTTAGGCTTATTTGATCTTATTTGTGTCTAAGAAACTGCAAACTACCCCTAGAGAGCATACCCCTAGAACCACAAAAACATCCATTTTGCAGGGTTTTGAGAGCATATGTCTTTGTTTGATGGTTTGTACAATCGGGTTGATGGGCAATGATACTGAACTCAAATCACTATTCGGGGGTGCCCGGGCGCCGCATCCTCATGTCTTACGTCTCACTCCAATCGACCCATGCGCACAAGAAAATATGCATGTTCCAATTGTTGTTACATGACCAAATTTCTCTGGCCAACGGCCAACGATATATGTCTACCAACGGGCTTGTGGTGATTCTAAGTGAGGGTATGTAAATTCATGGCCTCTAAGACGTACTGTTCCTTGGATTAAGGCACTGTATGTATGTTTGCTTTAAATTCCGGGAACTACAAAAAACCCTTGGTATTTTGTGTTTTTTTTGGCATTTTGAGGGCAGAATGGCTGTGACCGCTTGGCACAGTGACACCCAACAAGGGTTCATGTATGGCTACATTAACTCATTTTGCAATATTCCGTATTCCGCTCAATTTTGTTGTTGGTTGTCACGAATTGCTCTTATATAGTCCATTTTGTCAGTTGTTTCCCAATCTGTGTTGCTTAGGAATCGGTTCTGTTCAACCTAAGATATTTACCTATGTGTTTTTCTATGATTTGTTAATGTACAATACAGCTGACAATATAACATGAACCCTTTTATCATCATTTATGCTTCTATTCTTGTTTATGAAATCATTTTACCAGGTACTATCAATTGTGTGCTTGTTGCCAAACATGTTGTTCAACATTGACCTGCATATCTTGTTGTGTTTCCGAAATCAGTTTGTTAGATACTTACCCAAATTGTTGTTGCTTGTCATGATTAATTTACCCAAAATTTCTACGTTTGTGTCGTCCTTTGGCGTGGTATTCCCCAGGTTTGGTGGATGATGAACCCATTTTGTCAGACATGTGTCTATCATTACCTTGTTTTCACATGTTTATTTACCTATGTGAGACTTCACTCGCCCATGCCCTCGTTGCTGAAACAGTTTTGTCAGGTATTTATCCAGGATTTGTGTTGCTTCCCATAATATTTTGTCACACATGTTCCTCTTTTCCTTATCTAATTGTTGGTTATAACATGTTTTTTTACCCCAATCACTCGCTAGACATATCCAACCAAACGAAGTTTTGTCATACCATAGATATGGGTGTGGCCAAAGCCCCCTCCAGCGGACTATCTTCATTTTCTCTCATTTTCCAATGCAATGGCAAAATTCTTGTTTATCCATCATTTTTGGATAACCCCATTAGAATGCTGGTTATATATAGACTATAATATAAACGTAATATCCCACTGTATCCCAGTATGTTATTTTGGTTCCATTTCCATTCTTTTCATCAACCTGCAATACCCCCAGTGTTCATTGGTCCACTCATCATGTTCCATAATATGGATTTGAACTTTTTGAATGGTAATTTTGGTGTGTAGTATATAAACGTATAAAAACCGAAAAGGATGCAGAACAGAGATTTATCACCCTTTTAGAGTCGGAGATTTTAAGCAAATTCCATCTATTCCATCTCTATTTGGAAAGTCCATATCTATTTTACCATATTTTACCAATATTTCTTCATTGATCTCTATTTGTCATGACTTTCTCATTTCCTCCCAGAGTTTTGGGAGCGATTTCCAGGTCCATTTTTTTCGGCACCAGGAGTGGAGTACGTCGACGAAGTTTCTGGCGAGGTGAAGGAAGCACACGCCTCACAGGAGGTGGTGAAACTTGACAGGAACCCCTATAGAAATGGAGGTTTCCCAACTGAGCCATGAAATACCCTGGTGAATTGATTGCTATAGGGGATGATACTACCTGGTTTACTGGGGATTATGATAACCCATAGTAGGGAAACCTATCAACCAACTAGTATAATGAGATGGGATAGGGGTATTTTTAATGGCTCAACTGGTTGGTGGTTTCAAACATTTTCCATGAACGAAATCGTGGATTTTCCCATGAATAGCATGGTGGATCTTTCCAGTTTGTTATGTGAACGTAGAAACCAGAGGGTATACCTGGTTGGTGGTTTCAAACATGGCTGGATTATTTTCCATCATATATGGGTTGAAAAATCCTGAAGCCATTGACGAACTCCATCACTTTTCAAGATTGTTATTGCACCACCAACTGGCTAAAATCGGGGTAGCAAATGATCGGATTGTCCAATATAAACCATCCAGCTAAAAATGGGTACTTATGGAAACTATAGAAATGAGCTATGAATAGAGTTCTAGGTCAATCAACATTTCTTTTTGGGGAATATACAGTAGTTACCTATGAGCTATAGAAATAGATGATTTACCTATAGAAATGTTGATTTGACCAATAGTTAGCTATAGAAAATGGCCCATTGATATAATAGTTGATTTACTTATTGAGTGATTTTCCGGTTCGCTATGTTACAATGTTAGCTTACCAGAGGATAATGGAAGGGGAGCTTTTGGGGGTCTAGATTGGTCTAGATGTCATACCATGTCCAATTGATTATAGTTAGTGTATATTTATGTTATATATACACACACCACAGAGAGAATAAATCAAATGTATATGTATATATATATACATATGGAAGCAAATTTATACATTCTAGTAGTATTGTGTATATATATGTATATACATATCTGGGTAAATTATAACGACCTCACTGCGACCTCACTGGAATCATGGTTAGTAAGGGAAATCATCCCCAAATGGCCGAACTATTCAGGTTAGTGAAATATTTTAATTTACCCATATATATATAGATACATGTATTACTGGTTCTGCAGAACGCCCATTCTTATTGCTTCAGATGACATCATCCCGAAGGAGAAAAAAATGGGAGAAGCACCCGTTTTCAGTTGTCCTTCCCAGTTTGGGATTAAAACTTTTGTTTTTTTTCCAGAAAAACTCATAAGACCCCTACAATTCATGGTGAATGACAGTTAATTATAAATAAATATATGAATATATATAGAGATATGGAGGTTTCCTCAAATGGGAGAACCCCCAAATCAGCCAAAGTTCAACCCTTTGAGTATTAAAAGCCAATGGCTTTTGGGGATTCCCTATTTCAAGAAACCCCATATACCCTCTGGTAATTTAACATAGCTATTGACAATTACCATAGAAATAGTTGATTTACCCATTAAAAATTGTGATTTTCCATAGTTTTTTGTATGTTTAGCAGAGGGTAATGAAAACGACCAACCAGCTGGACATTCTGAGGATTTCCTGTGGCAGTTACGCCACTCCCGGACTCCTGTTGCGGTCCGGCATTGGACCCTCGCTGGGGTGGTAGAAACACCAGGATCCACAAAGAACCAGAGACGAATAGTATGGAGTAGTATGGAATAGTTGTTTGTTGTTTGAAGTTGTTTTCATGTTCTTTCACACATTTTCAGTGAACATGTCGTGCTCTACAACCAGTGGTTGTTTCGGGTCGCCAGTTGTGGTGATTTTTTAAGTGGTTCCAGCGATTCCAGGGTCGGGTCGGAGATCGGCAGAGAGAATCTTAATCGGTGAATTTCCCCAAAGTCTAAGCCGAAATTATTTGGATTTGAAGAAATTTAATATCCTTTAAATCCCCAAATGATAATTTTAAGATATTCTAAGAATATCATAACTTCTAGGGATTTAAAGGATATTATGATATGATTTTCGAGTGGAACGTGGACATTGCCCCGTGACTGACCAGTACGGGCGTGTGGATTGTGGCGACCCAAGGCAAACCACACTCTGAAAAGTGCCTCAGAGAATTGTATTCATTTGCCTCCAGCCAACAAATGTTTGAAGAAATTTGCAGTATCTGATAGTGACAAGAGGATTGATTCATTCGGCTTCCTGAATTATTGGATTCAATAAACTTCATAGATCTTGATACTATAGTATAGGATAGACAGTATAGACACTATTACCTATAGGTCTATAGACAAGATTCACTTAATCAGTAAATTCACTTGACGGTTCCACACGGTACTCCTGAGGACCGAAAAAAGAGCTCGAAGCCGCACAAGCGGCTCGGTCGCCGGCAGAGGGTTCTGTAGCATGGAGATGGGTCAAATTCCTTTGGGGATGATGAAGCAAAAACAGATCAAACATATTACACACATATGTACTTAGAAACTATATTATTTTATATATATATATAAAGATGTGGAGTGGTATGAGAATTGATCAGAAAAAATGACATTGTATAGAAACTTACATCTCATTTTAATAGACAAGGTCTGATTTTTTGACGGAAGGAGCATGCCACCTGGTATGGATCACCCATCAAAGCTATCCTGAAAAATCCATCATAGTTGGCACTTTGCCCAAGACTTTGGGATGAGTCAAAGCCGAAGCTACAGTATGATTTTACATATTAACATTGGGTTAACAGCCAGCTATTTTGATTTGAAAGTGAGGGGTTCTCTATAGGTTTTGACCCATAGCCATGTTGCCAATGGTCAATTTTTTTTTGGGGGTCAGGAGCCAAATGAGTAAGTGCCTCCCCTGTGTCCCGACGCCTGCTGATTGGTCCATGCGCAGTAGTCGCATGAGTAGATGATTATAGCTAGATCCTGCTGGTTTTGGAGGGAACAGTTCGGAACTATCCAAAATGGGGAGCCGAGGAGGAGCTACAAAGTTTATAGCACATTACAGAAAAACTGTAGCTACTGCCAGGAAATCAACCTGTTTCTCCATCAATGAGGTTGACTGTCAATTGGACCTGCCGGCGGTGGGCAAGAACTTGAAAGATCATTTGTACCTTTGTGTTCCCTGATTTGCACGTGGAAGGCAGTTGTGCAATGGCCATTGGGGATGGACCGGAACCGTTCGACATAGAACGGCGTTTTTGGTGGTCATGAAATACCCAGACGATTTTTTGTCTCACCATGGCAAGAATAGGTGGAATCCCATTTTTTGGGGGGCGTGGCATCTTTCAATTCTTGATAGTTGGAACATGTTGGAACCATATCTTCGAGCCATGGCAGATTGATTTTTTTTTTTGGTAATTATTCCACTTGGGAAACGGAAAATCCCCCATGTGGAAGACCTTTTTGATAGCTACAGAAATCCCTGGTTTCTTGTTTTCCGGAAGCGCGAGGCATCCCATTTTCAGGGCCATGTCTCGAACCATTTTGGGCTGGCGATCTGCATCGATCTGCATCCAGGTTCCTGTCTCTGGCCTCGGCCATACCACTGCGCAACTGGAGAGCGAATGTACCCCTGAGGGAGCTGGCTTCCAACGGTGCGCGCTGGGATATCGACCTTGGGCAATGACTCTATTTGAGACTCCATTGGTTGTTGTATGTATATATGTACATATATGTACATATATATATTATATATATTATATATATATATTATATTATATATATTATATATATATTATATATATATTATATATATTATATATATTATATATATATATTATATATATATTATATGTATAAATATATATATATATAAGTCAGTATATATTGCATTGTGAATTAGATTACTGATTCCTGGGATATTGAATGATATTGATATGGGAATCTGGGGACACCTTATATGGGGAGATTAGTACTTGAATCATCTTGAATCGTTTGGTTCTTTAGGTGTGATAGGATGATTGGTCATAACACCAACCAGGACGGGCAACAGTTTTTTGGAGGCATGCATGGACATAGGTTGATCGATGGATATCATATACATAAGTAGATATCAATGCGTTTAAATGGATATAAATTGCTAGAAATTGATATACATGGATACAAATGGAACTTATGAATATTACCCTCTAAACTGACAATTCGACCCTGACAATGAGCCATCTTTCGTGGTTTCACTAGTCTTCCAACCCCTGTGTGCCAGGGTCGTACGGAGTCTGATTCGATGGGGAGATGATGGGTTAGTGGGAAACCGGCGCTGAGGTTTCAATAAACTGAGGGGAACATCTGCAGGAAGCCATGAAATCTAATTTCTACCACCAAATGCATTGGTTACCATAGAGGTTTCCTGTAGATTTCCCATTTGACCAATTCTGGGAGATGTGCTGTACATATTAGTAAAAAGATGTAAAAAGAATATTGTTCTCATTCGGGGATCGCGCCACTGCAAGCACCATCAAATATGCAAGTGCTGCATGGAGGGCCATGTGAGCTCATGTGCGCTCGAAGATTTTTGAAGATGATTTTGAGTTTGGGATGGTCAATGGATATGGCTGAAGACTATGAACTTGAACTCCCCAAATTAGTTGGTTCTTTACAAAAAAGAACAACCAAAGTTTCGTATCGCCAAACAAATAAAACAAAACGGTTCTTCTGAAAGTAAGGGGCGCGTCCGAAAATCAGTAAATGGTTGATTTAAGCCAGGTGAGTTTAACTGGGGTATGTCCCACTCATCTAACTGGGTGATTTCCCACTTGGGAAGACCACATGAGTTTACTCCTCATTTGGAGGATCATCTTAGTTTCCGTGGTTCATTTCACCTTTCAATGGGAATTTCAGGATCCTCAAATGGAGGTACGTAAACTTTAAACTTACCATATTGTTGGCCATATTTTCTGGCGATATTCCCTGACATTTAGGCCAAAAATATACGGTAGGCACCTCCAATGTTTATCGCTTCCTGTTGCATGGCCATTGATTTATAGTATTCCCAGGGATTCGTATTCTCATTGTTTGGTGAGTATACCCATTAAATACCATTATTATACCAAATTTCCCATAGAAATCCCATGATATCCCATGATATTCATCCCCCGATTCCTATTTTTTCCGGTGATCGTCATGGGCGTCATGGGACGATGATCTGCCAGGTACCTGGAGACGGGGAAAGGTTTGGCTTCCACCAGCCTCTATGAAGCGAGTGCCTTCTATAGCGCCTCGATGAAGATTTGGTGCCACTGGCCTGGCTTTTCTTTTTTTCAGATTTCAGGGTGAATTCTGGTTTTTATATCTGGTTGGTGGTGACTGGAACATGGCTTTTTAATGGGATAATGATGGTTAATCATGGTTAATCATGGTTAATCATGGTTAATAATGGTTAATAATGGTTAATAATGGTTAATAATGGTTAATAATGGTTGATAATGGTTAATGGTTAATAATCACTGCTTGGTGGTGACTGGAACATGGCTGGATTATGACTTTCCAGAAACAGTTGGGAATGGAAACTCATCCCAACTGACTCATATTTTTCAGAGGGATAGGGCTCAACCACCAACCAGTGATGGTTTATCTTGGTTGATCAGTTTGGATTTCTTTTCGGCCAAGTTCGTATTTTCATGATGATTAATATGATTAGTACATGCATATGAACATGTATGAACATGCAATTCGTTTGTGTAATGTATACCTTTTGGTCATCAAACATGGCAATGGGAAATTCCCCATTTATAGATGATGTTCCAATTTCAATGGCCATTTACGGGGATGGGCCAGCCAGCCATGTTTCATTACCGGAGATTATATCCCAATTATCATCCCTGTTATTGTCAATATTAATCACTGTTAATCACCATTGATCATCACAATTATATATTATGTGTTATAATATAATCTATATATATAATACATACATATATGTATATATATATAATATATATATATAGACATACACATAGATAGATATACACATCAATGACCGATATTTCTTATAATTTAATGCAGTATTATCTATATACACAAGGTGGTGCCCCATACTTAGCCAAGTTGGTGCAAATAACTCCAATAACTATGGCTTATTGTAGATATATCTATACTTACTATGGTTTATAAACCAACAAACAAAACTGGGAGGTACCACCTTGTATGGAACATGGGAAATATATCTATCTACTTCAGGATGAATATATATATATATACATATATATATATATATCTATCTTTATATATATATATTTTTATATATATATATATTTATAAATAAATATATTTACATATATATATACATACATATAAATATTTATACATATATATATATATTTATACATGTACATATATATATGTATAAATATTTATACATATATACATAAATATATATAGATATATATATATACATTTATATATATATATTTATGCAAATATATTTATTCATATACATATATATGTATGCAAATATATTTATACATATACATATATATTTATACATATATATTTATATATATACACACATATATATTTATACATATATATATATATATTTATACATATATATATATATATCTCTATTTATACATATATATTTATACATATATATACATATATATATACAATATATATACAATATATACATATATATATATAAAGCCATATAGGTTAAAGCCATATATACATATATATATATATTTATACATATTTATATATATATATACACATGTTACCGAACATGAGTCCCCATGAACGTTTGGTGCATCCCCACTGGACGAAGGCAGTGGCTTGCATCCAGAGGACGCCAGCAGACAGGACGGAGCCTGGACGAAGAAGCAGAAATGGGATGTGAAGTGAATGAAACCAACCAAATACCCTCTGGTAAACTAACATAGCCATTGAAAATGGCCATTTATAGTGGATTTTCCCATTAAACATGGTGATTCTCCATAGATATGTTAGTTTACCAGAGGGTACTTGTTTGTGCTTAGTTCATCACTGGGTTAGTTCATCTTCACCCAACATAGCTTCTTCTCGCCACCTGAAACAAAATACCAACATCAACCAACCATCATGTATCTAATTGGTATCTAATTATATCTAATCTTACTGGTGCTAAACGTAGGGAATGAGGGAATGATCCACAATAGCTATCAATAATAATCCCAGCAACCCCCAGCAACCCATCCATTCCCTACTAAGCACAAGTAAGAATAGGTGGATTTAACCAACCAAAATATGGGATATATGGGCATTTCTTTTAAAATCAATACCCCAAATTTCACCAAAAATAGAGCATTTGACCAACCAACATAGATGAATTTCACCAACCATAATGGGGATTTAACGGACCAAAGAGGAAAAACAAAAAAACAGTCTTGAGTGTGACACCTTTACTCAGTGTGAAACTTTTGCTCAGTGTGACACCTTCACTCAGTGTGAAACTTTTGCTCAGTGTGACACCTTCACTCAGTGTGAAACTTTTGCTCAGTGTGACACCTTCACTCAGTGTGAAACTTTTGCTCAGTGTGACACCTTCACTCAGTGTGAAACTTTTGCTCAGTGTGACACCTTCACTCAGTGTGAAACTTTTGCTCAGTGTGACACCTTCACTCAGTGTGAAACTTTTGCTCAGTGTGACATCTTCACTCAGTGTGAAACTTTTGCTCAGTGTGACACCTTCACTCAGTGTGAAACTTTTGCTCAGTGTGACACCTTCACTCAGTGTGAAACTTTTGCTCAGTGTGACACCTTCACTCAGTGTGAAACTTTTGCTCAGTGTGACACCTTCACTCAGTGTGAAACTTTTGCTCAGTGTGACACCTTCACTCAGTGTGAAACTTTTGCTCAGTGTGACACCTTCACTCAGTGTGAAACTTTTGCTCAGTGTGACACCTTCACTCAGTGTGAAACTTTTGCTCAGTGTGACACTTCACTCAGTGTGAAACTTTTGCTCAGTGTGACATCTTCACTCAGTGTGAAACTTTTGCTCAGTGTGACACCTTCACTCAGTGTGAAACTTTTGCTCAGTGTGACACCTTCACTCAGTGTGAAACTTTTGCTCAGTGTGACACCTTCACTCAGTGTGAAACTTTTGCTCAGTGTGACACTTCACTCAGTGTGAAACTTTTGCTCAGTGTGACACCTTCACTCAGTGTGAAACTTTTGCTCAGTGTGACACCTTCACTCAGTGTGAAACTTTTGCTCAGTGTGACATCTTCACTCAGTGTGAAACTTTTGCTCAGTGTGACACCTTCACTCAGTGTGAAACTTTTGCTCAGTGTGACACCTTCACTCAGTGTGAAACTTTTGCTCAGTGTGACACCTTCACTCAGTGTGAAACTTTTGCTCAGTGTGACATCTTCACTCAGTGTGAAACTTTTGCTCAGTGTGACACCTTCACTCAGTGTGAAACTTTTGCTCAGTGTGACACCTTCACTCAGTGTGAAACTTTTGCTCAGTGTGACACCTTCACTCAGTGTGAAACTTTTGCTCAGTGTGACACCTTCACTCAGTGTGAAACTTTTGCTCAGTGTGACACCTTCACTCAGTGTGAAACTTTTGCTCAGTGTGACATCTTCACTCAGTGTGAAACTTTTGCTCAGTGTGACACCTTCACTCAGTGTGAAACTTTTGCTCAGTGTGACATCTTCACTCAGTGTGAAACTTTTGCTCAGTGTGACACCTTCACTCAGTGTGAAACTTTTGCTCAGTGTGACACCTTCACTCAGTGTGAAACTTTTGCTCAGTGTGACACCTTCACTCAGTGTGAAACTTTTGCTCAGTGTGACATCTTCACTCAGTGTGAAACTTTTGCTCAGTGTGACATCTTCACTCAGTGTGAAACTTTTGCTCAGTGTGACATCTTCACTCAGTGGTGAAACTTTTGCTCAGTGTGAAGTTTTTGCTACATGGAAAGATTTCGTTTCAATAATACACCACCAAGCAGTGAGCGAGGCCCTAGGTTCTTGATAGTAGGTAGGAAGCGGGTTAGTGCCTACGACCTGTGGCAATGTCCATGCTATAGGTTTTGGCAAAAAAAAGAGGGGATTTAACCCATGAAAACGGGGCCTCCCCTAGTTATGGCAATAGTTTGCAACAGACCGATTTTGCTGTATACCTTTTGTTAAACAAAGCCACATGGTGGTGGTCTAAGTAGTAAGAGGATGCCAAGCATTACTAGCCCATTTGATGTAGAATTGGGGCGCTCTCATTGTTGACAACCAATAGATACCCGCTGGTAAACTGAAATAACTATGGAAAATCACCATTTTTCATGGGAAAACTCACGAACTAAATGGTGATGTTCCATAGTTTTTTGTATGTTTACCAGAGGGTAAGTCATGATAAGTCATGAGAAATGTTGCCAAAGCTACTCTGATATTTCTCCCAAACGGACACAAACAGTTGAAAAAAACGTGGAACGTTGAGGATGTTGCTGGATGCTTTTCTCTTGGTACCAGTTGGTTTGGTGACTTGAGATTCTACTTGGACCTTTCAAGACGCAGTTTGAAAGTTCAATGGTTAACAGGGAAAATATGCTGGTTGGCTACGCTGAAAAGAGGATTAACAACGGCTTCTGTTGAAGGAAACGCATACTTAACCCATGCCAGTGGCATCTCAAAAATTGACGAGTGTTGATGGTTGGATGGTTTTCAAGTGGTACATTTTACCACTGAACGGATCATTCCTGTGGGTCTTGGGCAATATCAAATATCTGTAATATGTACATTGTCAACGCCCTTGTTTTGATCCTTTTTTGTTCTTTTTGGCATCTATGGACCAAACATGGTCATTTCCAACTTTGGACCATTCTTTCTCACAAGCCGGAAACAGTTGTGGGGTTCCATGTTGATTTCCAGGATCTACCCCAGCACCGCCAAACGAAATCGTGGGCTTCGCAGAGGTCAGATCTCCTTTGGTGTTGGCAGCACGCCGGAGTTGTGGTCCAAGAACTTTGGCATCAAGGCGGCGCGCCTCTCTTTTTGGTGGAGGTTAGCATCTAAAATTCTGGATTTCATCCGTTTCTGGGGCATTTCAGGATCTGCAGCTGACTAAGCCATATTTTGGGCCATATATAGGGATATTCCCTGAAAAATTTAGGCCCAAATTGGGACTTCGAAACCAGAATTTCATAGAAACACAAGCGATTTCAGCAAGAAAACTTGGAGTGCCCTCCGCGGTCCTCGCCCGCGGATGTCTCCCAAACAGCACGGTCCCCACAAGGCCCGGCGGAAAGCGCATCGAACAGCGCACCGAAACCGCAACAGTCCAGGACTTTACGGCAGACAACTGGAGATTCGACGGCATGTTCAACAAGGACGTGCCATCATCCATGCTGAGCCTTGGAGATTTGGTCGTTTGGAACATTAGTACAGTTGGACTAGGCCATATAGTATATTATACTATATATATAGAATTATATAGATATATATATATAGTATATATATGTATATATATATATATATCCACATATATATATACATATCCACATATATACATATATATATATATATATATATACATACAATGACCTCTTGTGAAGGCAACAAACAGCAGCCAGGGATAAAGAATATCGCCATTTCTGCGGTGTGCTAGTCAATATGATTTTGTTCTCTGTTTTCTGGTTGGTGGTTACTTTTTTTTGCATCTGATCATGTAATTATCGTCTGAATTGCCAATCATAGAACACCATATAACTATGTTGGAGCAGATTGAACGCATAAAAAACCGTCTACAATGTGTCTATAAGCATACCCAGATGATGCCAATGCTGCTGTTGAATTTACCGATGTACATGATGCCATGATCTAAGGATTTGCTGACATGGTTTGTCCCCAAATCCAGAAATCGTTTATCAACCTATCATCATTTCATATCATTTCCCCTAATATTTTCCCCCAACTCCATCAAGAAAGGGGCCAGTGTGAGAATTTCATCAACTTCGGATCAGTTTTCCCCGAGTTTTCCCCCAGGTTTTCGCAGTTTTCCCATCCCCAACGCGGCCACACTATGCCGTTGAACGCCGAGGATCGCCACGTTGAACCAACCCACGAGTCGCGGCGAAGTGCTGCTGCGGGGCGAAGATGTGGAGGTGCGACACCACTACTTGGACCAGGAGGCGAATGGTGGGAGGAAGGGAGTTCTGGGGTGGACGGATATCACTGATACATCACTGATATATACTGATATAACTGTTACATGAACTAACTGATTAAGATTCGTGTTATAACATAGTTATAATTCATAGTTTTTTGTCATGTTAAGTCTATGGATTTAATAATAGTGTTATAATATACAGTTGTAATTTATAGTTAATTAAATATTGATATTACTTGGTAAACGTGGTGTATCTTGGATGTAACTGGGGGGACGGGGTGAATTTCTTGAGACTTAACTGACTTAAGCATGAATCGTAGGGCTTTGCGATGGCTTTAAATATCAAGGATATGGGGATATGGTTGACAAATACAGTACCTTGGTTGCTTGGCTTGTTGGGAATTATATGCTGGTTGGTGCTTTGGAACATTTTATATTTTTCCAATATATGGGATGTCATCCTTCCCATTGACTTTCATATTTTTCAGAGGGGTAGGCTCAACCACCAACCAGTATGCTTTTGAACCATGGAACATATTGAAAAATGGAGATATAACATGATATAACTGAAGAATTACGGTTTATTGGTGAAGTTCTTGGGACTTCGATTCTACCTCATCTATTCTGGATGATGATATAGCGAAACCTATCAACCATTATAATGAGATGAAATAACACTATTTTTAAGGGCTCAACTTGGGTCAGATCTTGGTCAGAACAATGTTTTTTTTTAGTTGGTCGATAGCTGAGGTGTGGCACCATGAACATGCATTAAAAAATCGCGTAGGATTTCGCATGTTTGATTTTTAAGACCCAGAGGTTTCCGGTTTCCGTTCAGAACTGTGGGATCAGTGGTCACCATGGTTTCTCAAAATAACAACATTTTAACAGGGAACAATTCTGATATATTATGATCATCCAATGGATTTAAGGATATATTTAATTATATTTATTATCCAATTGATATATCCATGGCTATATTTAATATACTGGTTGGTGGTTTCAAACATTACAAACATTTTTTATTTTCCATAATATATGGGTTGTCATCATCCTTCCCATTGACGAACTCATAATTTTCAAGATGGTTATTGCACCACCAACCAGATATAGTATTCATTAGATCCGATATTAATCACTAATAACCACTATTAACCACTATTAATCACTATTAACCATGGTTATTGCACCACCAACCAGATATATTTAATAATCCATTGTTTCAGTAGCGGTCCTTTTTGGTCGATAAGTCCCATGGATAACTAGGGCCGTCACCAGCCTCTAGCCATGACCCGCCAGGCAGATCTGCAGATGTTCATGGCCATCTGCAAAGAGGCCGTGAAGCTGCTGGAGCAGCCCTCCTTACGAGACCTGGACCTGACCTGGTGAAAGAGCTAACTCAGTTGGGAGCAACGTTGGCTAACTATGAAAAGCAATAAACAAGGCAATTGTGAGGGCGATTTTGATGCCCCAAAAAGACAGGTGAAAAAAAGGACTCAAATAGATGGTAAACTCATGTAAACTATGCTTTTTGGGGTGTTACTATGGATTGAATGTGGGTTTATTTCATGGATATGGTTTGCTAAACCAACATGCAAATTGGGTGGCCGTTCCTGAAGGGGGATTTTGCTTCGCCATGGAAGGGTTTGATATCCAACTGAATGAACTTGATTAAAACTAACTTAAAGTAGATGTTCTTGCAATAGAGCATCTGATCTCTTACTGACAAGCAACTTGAATCTTGGAAGCTATGTAAGCTTAGCCTGCTTGGCCATCTTGCTCTCAGGTCCTTGACGCTGGGGAATTGACAGAGTTTCACTCATGGCCAAAGAGCGACAGGATGTAAAGAAAAAGAATAGGGCAAGAAGCAACAATCTAACCTGAAGATAATTGTAGATCTTTTAGATGGGTGGATGGCACGGGGGTCGCATTTGCCCCTATTCCATCTTGGGTCGCATTTGCCCCTATTCCAAGGGGGATGAAGTGGGTTTAGGGGCGAATGTGACCCTCCTTTAGGGGCGAATGTGACCCCTCCTTTTGCGTGGCAGGCGCAATAGTTTCAGAGCCTCAAAAGGATTTTTTCCACCCTAGCGAGTGATATTCACGTGTTTTTCTACGTTCCAACAGCCATGTCAATCAACTTCCAGGACGCTATGCATGCTATGGTGTTCCATTGCTATACGTTGTAACATCCATTTCGAGCAACTTCCAAGACGCTTTGGATGTTACCTTCCAAGAGACATTTCAATCAACCTCTAGGACACTATGGATGCTACGTTGTAACATCCATCTCGAGCAACTTCAAAGACGCTTTGGATGTTACCTTCCAAGAGACATTTCAATCAACTTCTAGGACACTATGGATGCTACGTTGTACTATCCAGTTCGAGCAACTTGGAAGACGCCTCGGATGCTACGTTCCAACAGCCATTTCAATCAACTTCCAGGACACTATCATGCTACGGTGTACCATTCCTACGTTGTAAGATCCATTTCGAGCAACTTGGAAGACACTTTGGATGCTACGTTCCAACAGCCATTTGAATCAACTAGCAGCACGCTATGGATGCTACGTTGTAACATCCAGTTCGAGCAACTTGGAAGACGCCTCGGATGCTACGTTCCAACAGCCATTTAATTCAACTTCCAGGACACTCTGGATGCTACGGTGTACCATTGCTACGTTGTAACATCCATGTCGAGCAACTTCGAAGACGCTTTGGATGTTACCTTCCAAGAGCCATTTCAATCAACTTCTAGGACGCTATGGATGCTACGTTGTAAGGTCCATTTCGAGCAACTTGGAAGACGCCTCGGATGCTACGTTCCAACAGCCATTTGAATCAACTTCCAGGACACTATGGATGCTACGGTGTACCATTCCTACGTTGTAACATCCATTTCGAGCAACTTCGAAGACGCTTTGGATGTTACCTTCCAAGAGCCTATGGCTCTTTTCAAACCTATGGCTCCGATGCACCCTGTAAACCATCCATTCCATGTAACATGCGATTGCTTAGAGCCTTGGCGGATGACTTTTGAGCACAGCCAAGAGGGTCGCACTTTTTGGGGACCGAGTCTGTGGATCAATATACTGGCAAGCATATGCAATAGTGAGGCGAAGGAAAAATTGGAACCACGTCCCCGTGTTTTCAGAGTTGCTTGCATGTGGCAGCAAACAGGTGTAGCTCGTCGCCAGTTGACATATGCCCCCAAGTCCCCCCCTAAAGGTTCCCCAGTCCCCCTAAATGCCCCCTTGGTAAACCCCTAAAGGGTTGAGTAACATATGTCAATAGAGAGACAAGTCAACATATGCCCCCATGTCCCCCCCTAAACCCCAGTCCCCCTGAATGTCCCCTTGTCCCAGGTTAAAGCCTAAAGGGTTGAGTAACATATGTCAATAGAGAGACAAGTCAACATATGCCCCCATGTCCCCCCCTAAACCCCAGTCCCCCTGAATGTCCCCTTGTCCCAGGTTAAAGCCTAAAGGGTTGAGTAACATATGTCAATAGAGAGACAAGTCAACATATGCCCCCATGTCCCCCCCTAAACCCCAGTCCCCCTGAATGTCCCCTTGTCCCAGGTTAAAGCCTAAAGGGTTGAGTAACATATGGAATAGAGAGACAAGTCAACATATGCCCCCATGTCCCCCCCTAAACCCCAGTCCCCCTAAATGTCCCCTTGTCCCCAGGTAAAACCCTAAAGGGTTGAGTAACATATGGAATAGAGAGACAAGTCAACATATGCCCCCATGTCCCCCCCTAAACCCCAGTCCCCCTAAATGTCCCCTTGTCCCCAGGTTAAACCCTAAAGGGTTGAGTAACATATGGAATAGAGAGACAAGTCAACATATGCCCCCATGTCCCCCCCTAAACCCCAGTCCCCCTAAATGTCCCCTTGTCCCCAGGTTAAACCCTAAAGGGTTGAGTAACATATGGAATAGAGAGACAAGTCAACATATGCCCCCATGTCCCCCCCTAAACCCCAGTCCCCCTAAATGTCCCCTTGTCCCCAGGTTAAACCCTAAAGGGTTGAGTAACATATGGAATAGAGAGACAAGTCAACATATGCCCCCATGTCCCCCCCTAAACCCCAGTCCCCCTAAATGTCCCCTTGTCCCCAGGTTAAACCCTAAAGGGTTGAGTAACATATTTAAAATATTGTTGAATAGGGGCGAATGTGACCCCTTTTGGGTTAGGGGCGAATGTGACCCTCGAATAGGGGCGAATGTGACCCCCGTCCCTGGGTGGGTTGTCAGAATTAAGTTCCATCATTTGATATTTTGGCGATGATAATCATACGTACAGGATAGGATGGTTGGATAGTCAGATAGACACTATACAAGCTGGTGCCTGTATGCAAAGCTAAGTTGGTTTATAGCTGCATTGAGTAGGACCTATGGTGATTTTGACCAGAGTTAGAGGGTTTTTATAGAACAAACATAAGTAGTGAGTGGGTTCAAATTCCATGAAATCCAATTTTCCATCCAAATACTGTACATCAAATCTGTCTCATTAAAGTCTATGAAATCCCAAAAAAATCGGCAGCTCCGAGTCTGGCTCGACTGCAGAAAAAAAATATTGATCACATGCCAAAAACACCGTGGCCCCGGTATGGACATCCAGTTTCCAATGGTTAAAATGTTTTGGGCGGGCACTACTTCTTGGTTTTTTCCCCCATCAGACGCATCAGACCCAGAGCCGAGGAAGTGAGGTCAAGGAAGTGCTAGTCCCCCAGGCGCAACTTTCCTGGGGAAACGACAGCTTTATTAGGCTTACTAACATTGATAACAGTTGTTGACCATTATTTAGTATACATTGATTCTCCATGGCTATTGATATTATTAACATTTATCATAGGAAAATACTGGTTTATAAATAACATTTATTGATATAAATAACATTTATTGATATAAATAACATTTATTAGCAATTTTACCGGATTTGAAAGGAGATATACTGGTTTATAATTATAACTAATCAACTGTACTTGTGAATTTAACTATCTATTGAAATTGGCAATAGAAAATCCGCCATGTGTAGATGATATTCCGAAATATTCCGAACAAAACCTTCATTTCATGGGGGATTTTCCCGGAAAGTGGTTAGGAGGAAACTGTTCGGAGCCAGTTGGAGCTATGCAAATGGAGTTTCCCAAGCATGTCACAGATTTTCTTAGTGGTTTCAAATATGGTTCATATCAGAGGAGTATGAAGAATTGGTTATTTTTTAAGTGTTGTGTATTAGGTCAAGGATCAACCAGAAGTGTGTCGCCGGTCGTTTGGTCCACATTTGATTAAAACAGTTTGAACACTTGATTATATATATGTACAAATAAATGAATGTATGTATGTATATATATATAATTATATATATATACAAATTTGTTTGCAGTCATTTGATTTCTGGTGCACAAAGATATGACAATATGGTTTTGAGATGTGAGTCATGAGATCATGTTCTCCCATCCCCTCTGAGGGCATGATTCTTCAGCCATGCAACAGGAACCGATTTATTGGAGGTACCTACCATATATAAGGCATATTTTTCAGGTCTATGTAAGGGAATATCCCCAGAAAACATTGTCTTATATGGTACAGTACCTCCATTTTAGGATCCTGAAATTCCCATTGATATAACTGATGATCAATCTTTGTTGAAGCCATCAATATATATATAATCTGAGCCTGAAGTCATGTTTATATATGTTGAATTATGTTGATCAGGTCTGGGAATTATCGATTAATATCAATTGGAAGCTTCGTCAAATGGGGGATCCCCAGTCGTCACTGTCTGGGTTTCGGTCATGGGGGTACCATGACTTCGGAAACCCCCGATTCATCCCGAAAACAATCCAGAACTTTGAACTCAATCCTAAGTCTGGGGATTATATTTTTTTAATGTCAATTCATCCCAAAACTAATGCAATGGATCATCAACTATGGAATCATCAATGTCAATTCATCTGAAAACAATCCAGAACACTAACATTAAAGCAACCAATTAGTGGATTAATGGCCATTCAGTGGTCACTGATATGAAAGTAACTCAATCCAAAAGCAATTAGTGAACATATTAATTTCACTTCATCCAAAATCAATACTTAATGTGAATGAAGTGACACTAATCAATAATTTTCATGACAATGACATGTTGATCATCCACTGAACAGAACACTGCTGGTTGGTGGTTTGGAACATTTGTTATTTTCCATTTCATATATGAGATGTCATCCTTCCCATTGACGAACTCCATCATTTTCAAGATGGTTAAAACCATCAACCAGATATATTATTCATTAGATCAGGTATTAATCACTAATAACCACTATTAACCACTATTAATCACTATTAACCATGGTTAAAACCACCAACCATTCGGATTTCGTTCCAGGTGCTTTCGAGGCAGTTTGGGGACGACCTGCAGAGCCTTGGACGATGGAAATCGGTGCCAAGCAGCAGGGTCAACTGTGGCGCTTTTCTGGCGCAACTGGTTGGATTTCACCAAGATTTCACCAACAGAGATGGTGATTTAAATTTCATGGTTGGATTTCACCAAGATCCACCATTTAAATTTCATTTTCATGGGATTTTTGTTCCAAGCGAAATGGTGGCAGACCACTGCATGAAGAAAACCCATGATGGGATCATGGAATAAAAAGGTCAACCAACTGGATGGGAAGTGGATCTGATCCAACTGATTTGTCTATTGCGATTTCAAGCAGGGCATATATTATGGAATATCTGCTCCAAGCAGGGAACAGCGGTAGTTTTTTTCTTTTTTGCAGGGTACCTAGGATTGGCATTGGATTGGCAATGTTTATGGTGTTTTTTCAAGTGGGGAATTTGATGATGATCAACCAGTTATAACCAGTTGAGTCTGGAATGTACCAGGGATTGTTCTGACAGAAATTTGGATCTATTTCGAGAATCTATATACTTGGAAAATCTCTTCAAGCATCCATTTTGCAAAATTATTGTATCGCAAAGCGTGGAGCATTTCGTGGACACCTTTATGAGATCTCAAGAGGACTAGTAATTAGTAGCCTGTCAGTTCTAATCCAATTCCAACCTACCATGCTCCAAATGATATATGGTCTATAATTTCAAGTGATCTAATATATAGATATTATAGATAATCCATACATCATTTCGCAGATAATTAGTCTTCACTATCTAAACACGCTCCATTGACCTACAATTAGACAACGGTACTTGGTGGCTCATCCCACTTAGAAAGTGGGTATTCTACCCCAGTTATAAATGGGATAAGTCGGGTTAATCCACTTATAACTGGGCTTATAAGCCACTTACGAGCCGTGGGATGAGCCACCAAGTAGATACCCTCTGGTAATTTAACATAGCTATTGAAAATGACCATTTATAGTGGATTTTCCCATTGAAAATGGTGATTTTCCATAGTTTTTTGTATGTTTACCAGAGGGTAGACAACGGTCGTCCCTTCAACAGGGACGTCTTCCTGCGCAAAGCGCTGCATCAGGAGCGATCGTCTCTGGGAGGCCTGGATCCGTTCCTTTGCACAGACGATCTATCACCCCGTGTCCACCTGCGCCATCAACCAGGCAACAGGGTGGGGATTGGTCGATGGCAACCAGCATTGCTATGGTTTGTTGGATAGATGGGAGCCCAAAAACTCAATTTTGGAGAATTGGAATATGATTTACACCATTTTCCAC